TTTGACACAAATATTATTTAATAGCTGACGACACAAATCAAGATTATTTCCTTTCTGGTGTGGAATATCAAACTAAGCTGCAACCACAGAGCATACTCAGACAGAACCTTGACTCAGTTACCAAGACAAATCTTTTTTGATGTGGAAGATCAGACTATGCTGCAACTACAGAGCATACTTAGACAGTACCTTGGCTCTGATACCAATTGTTGCGAAGCCAAATGTATATAGTGTGAATGAGTCACAACTACTATACCAAAAATTATGACAGGCACCAAATAATAAATAAGATAATAAAGCAACAATAAAAGGATTACCAGAATTTACGAGGTTTGACCAATTTTGCCTACTTCCTCGGACACAACCAATATTTTATTTCACTCCAAAAATACAAGTGAAATAATACTAAAGAGAGAAGATACAAATGCCTTAAGAAGATAAGAAGGCAAATGAGAGGTGTATTTAAATCCTAAACATTAGGCCTCCTTTTATAGGGAAAAAATCTCAACCAAATATGTCACCCACCGGTGTGGGACTTTTGACATTTTCAACAAATATAACCAGGCCCTGTGCGAAGCCCAGCTATAGCACAAGGGCAAATTTGCATGTGTTTTATTTTAAGGGACAACTTAGTCAATTGGCTTAGGAACGTGATATAAAAGTTCCTAACCCTTATTTCAGTCATACGCTTGACTTGAGAAAGCAAGAAACACTATTATTGAAGCAAAGTTGAGCTCGAAAGATCCTCAAGTTCATTCAAGAAGATGAATCGAAGAGTGGATGAAAAGTATAACGCCAAATAAAATTGAACAATTTTAAATAGTAAAAAAGTTAATTTGGACCTTTTTTTAAAAAAAAACAAAAAGTGAGTGAGTCCAACCTAAACGTAAAAATAAAAAGGAGAGGAGGGAGTATTTAAAACAAACAGGGACAGAATTGTCATTTAGCAGAATTAGTCATGGAACAAGTTTCTTTTTCCCCATATATAACTAGGCCGAAAAGACAAAGTTCACGTACACGCTTGTGCGTAGCTGTAATTAGCAGCAGCAAGTGCATTGTTTTTTGGTGCAAATACTTGAATGACATTTTGTGTTTCTGCTTTGGCTGTTTTCATATAAATCAGTCTCTGCCTCCATTTAAACTTCATCACCTGCTGCAAGTGCTCTATCTTCCTTCTTTGATTCTATCGATGCCATCCCATTCTTGACTACTTGTGTTTTTCTTTTTTCAATTTCTTGATGTATTTTTGCAGCAGGAATTAATTGATGTTCTTGGAATTTGGAAGGGTGTAATGAAATGGGATTTCTGAGCAGTCTCTTGGGAATTCTTGGCTTTGGAATTGGATTCTTGTTTGGTCTTTTTATTGGATTTTATTTCTTCATCTACTCTCAGCCCACTGATGTTGAGGTATGTAATAAGAAGTGTTAAAGAGTTAATTTTGTTTAATAAGGGTTGGTTTTATTTCCATCTCTACGTGTGCATATGTTTCAATTTTACTTCTGTTAAATTTATTTCCATCATCATAGCTTTGCTGTAATGCTGATTGGATTTGATTAATTACTTCATTCATTATCTACAACTTCTTGTGGACCTGTTATATGTGCATACAAAAAGACTCCATTTGTGTGTGTTAATAGGCTGAGTTGGTATGGTTGATTTATTTTTTTTTAGAAAAAGCTAGTGAGATGATGTTACAAAGCTATGACACCAAAGAGAAGTGGCAAAAAAGAAAGTTTTGGCTTTTTTAATATGACATTTAAGTACAATAGAAGTTCTACTATCATCTGATCACTACTATCTGACTTATCACTTTAGTAAAATATTGTTTGTTTATACATTCATGAATATGTTTTTCATTAAGCAAAAAAGGTAGATTAAAAGAACAAATGAAGAATGAGTAGATTAATGGAACACAACACTGTAAGATGGCAATGAGCGAAATATGTGCCTTCTAGAATATAGTGATTTGATTACATTGAACAAAGGAAAAACCTTCTCTTGGCTTACAAGAAGTAAACACATCAAATTTGTTTTGTCAAGTCTATCCTTTTTGGAATTCATTTCGGTTTGTGTATGGGTCAATAATTCAAAATTCCTCCGTAACTATTGCAGTCTTAAATTTCCTGCAATAGTTATGATACTTACTTTATTGGAATGAGTTCAGGATCCTGTTGTCAGTCCTCTTTGTGAGCTTGATACAGATGCATTACAAGATCTTATTCCGGATATTCCATTGTGGGTTAAAAGTCCAGATTACGATCGAGTACGTATTTCCTTTCATTCTATTTTATTTGCTTTCTTTCCATTTATATGAATGAATTGCTTGTGTTGCAGGTAGACTGGTTAAACAAATTTCTTCAGAATATGTGGCCTTTCCTTGATAAGGTATCTTCAAATTTCTAGTATTTCAGCCTTTTCCAAGATGCACTCTGTTGATTTACTTAGTCTATATAACATACAGGCTATTTGTAGCACAATTAGAAGCGTCGCAGAGCCCATATTTGCAGAATACATAGGGCAATATACGATAACAAAAATTGATTTTGAGACACTAACCCCTGGAACTCTTCCGCCAGTACTTCAAGGTCACTTTCTGATAGTTTCTCTAATTCTCCTTGAACTAATTTCTATATATTCTCTATTTTGTTATGACTTTCTCCTGATGCTATATTAAAATTTAGGATCTCACACAGGATGAATTAACAAAAGAAGAGAAAATTAAGGTTGTTAAATTATACAATTACATAGAAAACAAGGGACGCGTATCAATTTCATATTTTTTGACAACCATAGATATAGCAAAGAGATTTTCAAAAGAAATCCGAGGTTAAATGATATCTTATATTTGAAGTGTCTATGAGTTAAAATTCTCACAAGATTTTTTATGGACGCTGATATATTTTGAGTATATCTCTGTGATATCAACTTTGTTTGTCTGAAATTCTGTTTGTTTGTTTCAGAAGAAAATTCAGACAATTTGAATTCAGTTCTCAGTCAGATCCATTATCCTCTGAACATCGTAGAGTAAAATTAATTTTCTTTCTCATTTCACATATTGGCAGGTCTCAAGGTATACGAGACAAATGAGAGGGAGTTAGTGATGGAACCAGCAATTAAATGGGCTGGCAACCCAAACATCGTGGTGGNCATTATCCTCTGAACATTGTAGAGTAAAATTAATTTTCTTTCTCACTTCACATATTGGCAGGTCTCAAGGTATACGAGACAAATGAGAGGGAGTTAGTGATGGAACCAGCAATTAAATGGGCTGGCAACCCAAACATCGTGGTGGTAGTAACTTCATCATCTTTACAGAATCTAAAGATCAAATTGCAGGTCAGTACTATCACAGAAAGAATCATCCCTAAAATAATGTAGTAGTTAATATAGTTTCTGAGTGATGTGCTAATTTACATACTGGTGAATCTTCTTTACAGTTGCTGGACTTACAAATTTTCGTCGCACCACGTGTTACTTTGAAACCTCTTGTACCTAGTTTTCCATGTTTTGCTAATATAGTGGTATCTATAATGGAGAAGGTAATCTAATATTTTTCGGCTATTACCATTTTTCCTTTTCATGCATGAATATTGAGGTCACTGAACAATGTAAATTTTTGTTTTTGTTAAGCCACATGTTGATTTCGGACTGAAGGTTCTTGGTGGGGATGTTATGGCAATCCCTGGACTTTATCGATATGTTCAGGTACTAGATTACTGGATAATTTTCTTAGCATCTCTTTGTGTTTGTTCCACTCAATATTACAGCTATGTTTCATACATTTTGGCAGGAGATTATAAAGAAACAAGTAGCAGTCCTTTATCACTGGCCTCAAACTCTTGAAATACCAGTTCTTGATGCTTCATTGTGAGAAACAATTCTCTTGTTTCTCTTACTTCTTATTGAAGATCTCGTGCTTTTACCTTTTTATTTGGTGTCGCCCTTCATAAAGTTGCATGACTTTGTCGTTGCTACTTATAGGGTGGGCATAAAGAAGCCTGTTGGGATATTGCATGTTAAAGTGGTAAGAGCAATGAAACTCCTGAAGATGGATTTACTGGGATTATCTGATCCTTATGTTAAGCTAAGCTTGAGCGGAGACAGCCTGCCTTCTAGAAAAACCTCCATCAAGAAGAAAAACCTGAATCCTGTGTGGAATGAAAGCTTCAAGCTTACTGTGAAGGATCCACAGTCCCAAATTCTTCACTTAGACGTCATTGATTGGGACAAGGTTCGTCTTTCACTCATTCTTCTTAATTCCTCCATTTCCGATTTGAGCCTGAAGATACCTGAAATTTGGAGAAGAAAATTTAATACTCCCTCCGTTTCAATTTATGTGGCGTAATTTGATTGCAAACAAAGTTTAAGAAAGAAAGAAAAACTTTTAAAACTTGTGGTCTTAACTATGCCATGAGACTTTTGTGGCTAAAAAGACATGCCATTAATGGTAAAATTGAAAGTATGAAATTAAATTATTTCAAAATATGGAAATGTGTCATTCTTTTTTGAATAGGCCAATAAGGAAATAGTGCGACATAAAGTGAAATGGAGGGAGTAGTTGTGTCCTAATCGGTAATGGTTCATCAAGAGAGAAGCTTTAGCCTGAAAACATAACTGCTAATGGCTGCAAAAGTATCATTAGCCACTAATTCTTGAAAGTAATGACTTCTAGTTATTATTTAAAGATCTAAGAATGACATACATTTTACAAGGATTTTCTCCATAAGGTGAACTAAATTGGCATTTTGCTGATGTGCTACTTCTACATATGCAGGTGGGAGCACACGACCGCCTGGGATCACAATTACTTCCTTTAAAGCTTCTACAACCAAATGAAACAAAGGAATTCACTCTAGACTTACTTAAGAACTCAAGTATAAGTGTCGCACATGACAAGAAGCAGAGAGGGCAGATTGTCGTTGAGCTGACATATGCCCCTTTCAGAGAGGATACTGATGGTATGAGTGGGCCTTTAAATAGCTTCAGTTGGAAGGAGAATGGGTTGGAAACGACATCTGGTAATGATAGTCCAAGGGGAGCAGGTTTGCTATTTGTTACTGTCCAAGGAGCCAAAGATGTAGAGGGCTCACGTCACAATAATCCATATGTGGTCATATTTTTCAGAGGGGAAAAGAGAAAATCCAAGGTAACGTCTAATATCCAAACAATCTAACCCCTAATGACTTGATCAAAGGATAATGTAAGTTAAAGACATCAACTAGTTTAGTTAGTCGAGGAACTCCAGAACAATCTTCCGGTGCACTAGAGAATTCAGAATATATGAACACGATAATTTGAAATATTGAACAGATAACTACTAGAAACCAATCAGTCTAGGTTCCCTTTGTATGTATTGTCAGTATCATTGACTCGCGTAATTCTTGCTCATTCAGATGGTTAAGAAAACACGTGATCCTCAATGGTGTGAAGAGTTCCATTTTATGCTCGAAGAGCCTCCTGTCCATGAGAAAATCCATTTAGAGGTTTTGAGTAAGCGAAATGGCATCAGCTTTCGTTCAAAGGTACTTTAGAATTACATGCATGTGATTCTTCTCCTTTTCTTTCTCCCTACATTTAAAAGTTAATTGGCTGGTTCTTCTCCTCAATTTATTCAGGAGTCGCTTGGACATGTCGACATCAACCTTGATGATGTAGTTCACAATGGACGTATAAATGAGAAATACCATCTAATAGATTCAAAGAATGGAGTCATACATGTTGAGTTGAGATGGAAGAGCATATGAAAACAATATCAAGGTCCTGATATTTACAGCATTTCTCAGAGATTGAAAAAACAGAAAAAAGTTTTCAAAAGTGATTTATTGAAGAGAGAGCATTGAATCATGCATTATCTCATTTTTGTAAATTTTCCCCTCTTTTGAATCTTTAGATGATGCATGATCTTTGTTTGTTCAGTAGTCATCTTTGATATAGTGATAATACCGTTGCCCTTTTTTTTGTAATTTTATACGCAATTATCAAATACGCGCGCGCACTCACTCTTCTCCCTTTTTTTTTTTGTGCAATTTGTTTAGGTTCATATTGGGTGTGGGCATGATCAAGAATTAGGAGAGAAAAAGAGTTTTTCTGAACTCTTGGGCAATTATGCACATGACCTAACGTTGATCTAAATGATAACAAAGCATTTCTTACTCGTGAAGGTGTAGATACCTAGCTTTAATTTGTCTGTTAAAATGTAATGCTATAGCTTTTGCCTCAATAGCGAGGAGGAGTTTGACGATCTAGTACATATCATATAAGATAGATACTTCCAATAGTATTCCATCTACATAAATGGAAGCATTCAAGAAATAATTATGCCTATGAATGTTGTGGATAATATGTTCAGTTATTGACTTGAAGAAAACAAAATATTTTGGCTTGTTTTTGGAAAAACAAGAAACACTTCATTAGTTGTATATCCAATCACAAACAAAAAATAAAGATATTAGGCAGTCCCCAAAGTGAATAACAACTAAGAAAATTACTACTTAATAAGTTTCTGAACCTGTCCGAAGAAATGAATTTTGGACCTAACTCAACCTAAAATCTAATCATGACTCTTATTAAAAAGATTCCACTTGTTTTTTGGCTGCTAATATATTGTTTAAAGTTTATTACATCTTCTGGAGATCCGTTTCTTATTATTTTAATGTTCAAAAGTTGTTCATGACCATTTCCAATGGCCTGGAGGATTACTTGGTTAAGTCCTCAGAAAATATGAAATTTTTCTTTGTAGTTGTTAATTGGTGTACGTTCTCAGAAATTTACAAGATTAGCATGTTTGGTCAAACTTTTAAAATAGAAGTAATTTTTTTAAAAGTGCTTTTGATCATGCCTAACTATGCCTTATAAAAGGACTAAGCGGCCGTTGCAAATATTATCCGGTTTACAAGTCCGGAGTCGAATCCCAGAGAACTAAGGCTTAGCTATAGTTGTTCAACATCGCTAAGAAACACAAGTCCGAACAATTTTCTAATTATAAAGATTATAATATTTATTTTTATCTAATTAACTAACAAATTTAGAAAGCCGTAAAACTATCAATTAACAAGGATAAGGATTGGAGACAAGATTAAGGAGGTCTAGAGTTATGATTTCCCCTATTGTCAGAATCCTTCCCGCTATGTTTTGTATAAATTAGCCTAAGTATTATCTACCGATCATGAGCGTTCTGACTGCCGTAACTCTCTCCCGAGTAATTACCACAATTTACTATACATATTCTCCCGAATTACGCTAGCTGGCATTAAGTACGACTCACTCGGATCACACCCAAGGTTTCGTTATCCCTAATCTCACCTTTAAACCCTCCGTATTGATCCCTCATATACGTTAGAAGTGATGTTGTACAACAACTACCTAAATATGCACTATCTCCCGAGTAATACATACTAAATAGGCACAGTTTGAGGGACCTTCAATCAACCACAATAATAATATAGTTGAACAAATAGAGAAAATACTATGGCAAATCTATATTAACGTAACAAGAAAATCATCCTCAATAGGTTCCATCAAAACCTTAGATAACAAATTAGCTATTCATAATAGTATGCAAAACTACAATACTAGAATTCATAACCAATAATAGAACTAGGAAGAAGGAATTGAAAAACTCGTAGAAGAATTCTCCGCCTTGCTCCTAGTGTGTTCTTACCTCTATAGGTCTCAAGTGTGTCCAAACTCAATCTCCCTCTCGGTCTCTCTCCTCAAAAGTGGTGTTTTTAGGTCTATTTATATGTGTAGGAAAAGACCTAAACGTGTGGGCCAAGTCCTAGTCAGACCAGGAGACGAAATAAGCCTTCAAAACTCGGATTGGACCTGGCTTTAGGCTGGCCTCGCCTAGATAATGCCAGCTTAGGTCTGGCTTTAAGCTGGCCTCACCTGGATAAAGCTTGGTTAGGCCTGGCTTTAAGCTGGCCTCACCTGGATAAAGCCTGGTCGAGCTGGCTTTTGCCCGACTTCTTCTTTTCACTGTTTTCGAGCGCACTTTCGACGTTTAAGCATCCCTTTAGCTCTACTTTCATTTCCGATGCACCTGTACATAAAATAGCCTCCATTACGCTCAAACAAAGTGTATTTTAACATTAAAACATGTAAAACGCAAAGCATATAATGTGCAGAAACTTGAATTATAGCCACACATCAATACCCCACACTTAAACATTGCTCGTCCTCGAGCAATCAAGCTACACTTATAGATACCACCTATTAAGAAATTCTCCTAACTCATCACACCAAGAATCTTTAAAATAGACTAAGCACATGAGTGTAACATCCTCACCTCAAGATTTGACTCGCAAGTACCATGCATTATTCACAACTCACACACTTACTCTAACATGGAGGTCAATGACATTACCTTTCCTTCATGAATCACGTGCCCTCACTCAACAAAAGAGAGTAGTTCCACACATAATGAAATTTAAGAACAATTAGGAACTCAAGATAGAAAGAATTCACTCACTCTTAGAAATAACATTCATATACCACAAAAGATGCACCATAGGCTTGCTCGTAGTGTGCTACTCTATTAATCGAGCTCATTCAGTCTAGGATCAAGTAGGATTTTAATTGGTTGTAATGTAGGCTACGGGTCGGGTATGATACATTTGAATATAAGAGTAACTACACCTCCCTAAGCACTTTAATACATATACTTTAACATTCAAACCCCACACTTATGTCAAACCATGACTCCACCTTCACATCAATATACATCAACTCCCAAGTTATTTAAGCAGAATTACATCAAGAGTTATCTCTTATCAATGAATATCTGCACACAATACAACTATTTTTTTTCTTTTCTTTTTTAATTCAAGTGGCTCTTGCTCCTTCAAATCAGTGCACATTTCTCCTTATTTCATTAGTTCCACTAAAAAGCCAAACCAACCACCCCACACTTTAACTTTTACATAAATCATCACAATTCAAGTGCTTATGAGAGGTGAACAAGTTCAAATAGATGATTAATTCAAATAAAGGGGTAAGGCTTGTAATGTGGTTGCAAAAGAAATAGAATTACAGGCTCAAAGGGTTAACTACGTTACATAACAATTAGCGGGTAAAATATATATACATCTAGTTCAACAAAAAAATGTCTATATCACTTCCAAGACTGAACACAACTACTATTTTGCTTTGCAAACACACGGGGCAAGTTCTAGGCATCAAATGCAGTGCACAGAATACAACAAAACCTTATACACACATGGCACATAATTCACTCAGGATTGGACTCATCAAGACACTCTAGTCAAAGCAGTTAAGCAAAGTTAAGATCATACAATTTAAGGCACTTCTACAAGAATAAAAAATTGAGCCTAAGCGTCACAACCAAAGTACTAACTATTCTCAAGGTATAGCAAAGTTAAGAGATATTGCTGCAATTCAATTCATCTCACACTAGCTCCTACTCCCTAAAAAAAACTAACTACATCCGGTTCAAACAAAGCCCTTGGAAAAGAACCGCGGCACAAAGAAAAACCAAGGGAGAATTACTACACTACCTACAAAGAAAATCTTTTTGTCCCTTTTTTAGAAGTAAATCCCTCAAGAAAATTGTCTAGGATATCCATCGTCGGGAAAAGTCCAATATTTTTTTCGCTTTTTCTAAAAAATAACAAATAAATAAAATTATTCAATTAAACTAACATAACTAAAATAGCATAGAAAGTCACCTAGACAATCTCCTTAGCTCACACTTAAAATTGTGCATTGTCCCTAATGCACACCATAACTAATAAGACGGTAAAAGAAACTTTCTGGTAGGCCAAAGGCCGAAGCACTAGCAGCTCATGGTGTACTCAAACTTCTCTCAGGCTTGGTCCTTCATATGGGTACCTCACACTTAGTTCCAACCATCTGGTTTGTTGTTGCATCCTTCCAATAGCTTTGCTTTCCATGATTCTAGAAAATCAAAAATCGACACTACAAAAATAATACAATAATAAAAAATAATAATAATAATAAAATTAAAATAAAAGCAAGCAGTAAAGATGTGTTTCCTCCCAACAAGCGCTTGATTTAACGTTACGGCATGACGCGAATCACTTTTTACCTCCATTTTGAACTTATGAATTGGACCCCAAGTTTTGATTCTGCTCTATGATCATGCTCTTGGGGTGATGGAATGAATCTAACTGGTCACATAAAACAATGTAGTATTCTGCACTTCTTGGCCTTTAGATGAGATGTGTATTCCCGACTTTCTGGCAAGAAGCATTCCAAAATGTAGGGACCTTATTCCTCATTCCTTGACTCCTCAAGTAGCTCGGACGATTCTATTTCCATATCATTATCCAAACATAATGTGAAAAAATGCTTGGAGTGTGGACCAATGCGCTCAACTACATGAGCATTGGTACTGTCTACATTCTCAACACTAATGACAATAGAGTCAACTAAATATGTATCTTCAATATCCTTGGTTGATTCTAGTATCTCTTCTACAACATCGGCATCCTCAAAATCTAGTTCGATTGATTGTTGGTGTTTTACTCTGGTCTTCTCCACTAGCACCTCAATTTTTGTATCTAGTTCACACTCTTCTTAGATACTATTCACAATATTGGCTTGTTGAGTATTAAAACTTTCAACCAGTTGACTCACGTGAACTTTCAAGTTGTGAATAGCTTCCTCTTGCCTTTCTATCTGCAATTGTAATTTACTATGTTGTTCCAAAAGGCACTTTAACATATCTTCGATCTTCTTTAGGTCAGCTTCCCTGGGTTCTTTGTTCCTATTAACTTCACCAGGAAAAAAAAAAGAATCATCAAAGTAAAGGGTTGGGGGAGGATAAGACATATAAGCACAACCGTGAAAGTGACCATCTTGACCACAATAAATATCACACACATTCCACACATAAGATTGAGTTAGTGCACATAACTCGCTCTCGGGAATATTTTGATAATTTTGCCATGGGTGATTCTCTTCACAATATGCATAAGGAGGATCAAAAGTAAAATTACCAACATCAAAACTCTCATAATTCCAAGATGCCATATCTTTCAAGTCAAAAATAAAAAATAAAAAAAATAATCAAATACAAGAAAACAAAAATAAAAGCTCAAACTTGCAACCTAGAAATATGTACACCTACACCTACACTGTTAGTTCCCCGGCTACAACGCCAAAATTTAATCACGCCCAACTATGCCTTATAAAAAGGACTAAGCGGTCGTTGCAAATATAATCCGGTTTAGAAGTCCGGAGTCGAATCCCACAGAGAACTAAGGCTTAGCTATAATTGTTCAATATCGATAAGAAACACAAGTCCAAACAATTTTCTAATTATAAAGATTATAATATTTATTTTTATCTAATTAACTAACAAATTTAGAAAGCCGTAAAACTATCAATTAACAAGGATAAGGATTAGAGACAAGATTAAGGAG